GTGTGTGTGTGTGTGTGTGTGTGTGTGTGTGTGTGTGTGTGTGATGTGGGAATGCATGTGTTATGGTGCACATGTGAAGGTCAAAGGACGACTTTGTGGAGTTGGTTTTTTCTTTCCACTTTTATGTCGGTTCTGCGAACTGAACTTAGGTTGTCAGGATTACATAGTAAGTACCTTTTCCTGCCGATCCATCTCACCAGCCCTGACCTGTTTTGTTTGTTTGTTGTTTTTGCATGTGTATATGTATAGGGGGATATGCATGCATGGATATACGAGTGTGCGTGCTTATGTGTTTACATGTAGAGGCCATAATTTATGTTGGGAATCTGTCTGCATCGCTCTCCACCTTATTTGGGAGATAAGGTCTCTCACTGAATCTGGAGCTCACTGACTAGCTAGGCTGGCTGGCCTGGGAGCTCCCAAGCTGCTGCTGTTTTGCTTCCCAGGTCTGGGATTACAGGCGCATGCCACCAAGCCTCCTAGCTTCTTACATAGGTTCTGGGGAATCCAGATTCAGGCCCTTACACTCGCTAAGCAAGCACTTTACCCGCCCACGGAGCCATCTCCCCAGCTCCATTCTTTGCTTTCCTTGGGGGTGGGGACTTATTTACCTTGTGACAGTCTGACTGGTGCCCAGCACAGGCTCAGCACACAGAAGGCTCCTAATAAGAAACACAGGACAGGCAGAAGGGAAACAGGAACTTAGCCACTCTCATGTGCCATGGGCAGGCTGTCTGAATGATGCACAGTCCTGGTTCCTTCGGCTCTCACTGGGCCCTTCCATGTGGTGGTGGCATCAGGGCCATGGCAGACTGACTAGCAGGAGAAGTACGGTCCAGGAAGAAGGTCCGTTACTGTTTTAGCTTCATATGTGAGACGACAGGCGTGTCTGCTCTTTGCTGAAGTGCTATGATTAGCCAAGGAGGGAGAGCACTGAGCTGCTGGCTTACCTCGATTTCCTGATAGGAGTTGTTGATCATGGCTATCAGCATGTTGAGTAGCACGACCACCATGGTGACATTATAAACGCCGTACAGCACGTAGCCAATATTCTCGATGAATTTGTGGTCGTATTTCAGCACCACCGAGATCACCTCAGACAAGCCAAATATGGACCAAAACAACGTTTTAAAGCTTTCTTCAACTCTACGAGGAAACAGACAGTCCTTTCATGAAGTCTGAACTAGTTTACACTTTCAAAATGAAGGCTGCCCCTCCATTACCAGGCCTTAATGGTCCCCCGGAGGGGGCTGTGGTGAGCTGCTGATGCCTATATTGTAAAATGCTGAAACACTCAGATTTCTAAGCAGACTCAGAAAGACTCTTATATGGCAATTTCTTCCTTTCTAAATTCAATTTTGCTGGGGCTCCTGGCTGAGGCACTGTTTGGATCTTGCTGTAAGTAATCAGACTCTAAAATGAAACATGGGGCAAATGTTTACCCTTGAACCTCAAGAAAGCACACTGTTCCTTCCGTGGACTCTCAAACAGCTCTTCTCCGGCTGCACAGCCTGGCAATGACCCGTGTCCAGCAGACAGAGATGACATTGCTGCCTGGCACTTTGGGCCTCCTGGTGCTCAGTGGCAGGCTCATGTCGTTTATCTCCACTTATTATCCTAAGCCAGTCAATAAACGAAGACCTCTAAACCAGGGTGGGGTGGGGTGGTAGTCTGAATGTAACCGACCTCCAGAATTTCGTAAAGAGTGGCACTATTAGGAGGTGTGGCTTTGTTGGAGTGGGTATTGCTTTGTTGGAGGAAGTGTGCCACTGTGGGGGTGGGCTTTGAAGTTTCCTTTGCTCAAGATACTACCCGGTCGACTTCCTGTTGCCTGCAAGCCAAGATGTAGGACTCTCAGCTCCTTCTCCAGCACCATGTCTGCCTGCATGCTGCTATACTTCTCACCATGAAGATAATGGACAGCACCTCTGAAAGTGTAAGCTAGACCCAATTAAATGTTTTCTTGAAAGAATTGCCATGGTCATGGTGTCTCTGCACAGCAATAAAAACCTTAGCTAAGACAGTTGGTTAGAAAAGAGGCTGAGGGCAATGTCCACATTGTTCTAATTCTGCAGGTGCCACATCTGGTGGGTACCGTACATGCTCCAAGGGTGGTCCAGGGAAGACCTGGCCTTTAGTAGATTGCTCTTTGACCCTTTGAAGTTACTGAATACAGCAGTTTCAATCCCCAAGCACACTTCACAGTCTGAACCTTCTGGCTTGACTCTGTATATTAATACATAGAATCCAATTAAAAAGCTAGATTGTGGTTGGCTGGCTTAGAAGGGACATAAAGTTCAACTCTTTAGTCTGCATCCAAATTTTCAGCGCCATTATAAGACAGACCTTTTCTTTTTTCCTCTTTTAACATTTCAGATTTTCAACACTTACCCACAAATGACCAGGATTAACTTGAGCTCCCCACCCCCCACCAGGGTTTCTTAAGCACTGAAATTTATTTGAGAAAATGTACAAAAATGTGAGTTTCCCAACTTGGGCTAAAAATCTACTCTTGACTTGCATGAATTTACAGCTCCCCTTCATGTGAGGATGTGGGGGTGTCGATGTGTGTGGGATGGGGGTTAGTGTGCAGTGCCAGCCGCATGGCTCACTCCCTGCACATCGCAGAGTCTGAGAAGCCGGTATCCGAAGTGAGTTCGCATTGCTGCTGCTCGTCTTTTCTTTCCTCTGAAGCTGAGGGTTTGTAACATGTAATCAGGAGTTCAGTAGCGGGGTTTTTTTTTTTTTTGGTTGTTTTTTTTTGTTTGTTGTTTTGTTTTGTTTTGTTTTGTTTTGTTTTGTTTTGAGACAGGGTTTCACTATGTAGCCTTGGCTGGCCTAGAACTCACTGTGTAGATCAGGCTGACCTTGAACCTAAATAGATCTGCCTGCCTATGTTTCCTTCTTTAGAGGGAAGGGATTAAAGACCCATGCCTGGCTCAGCAGCAGGGTTTGAAGTGAAGACTGGATACAGAGTCATTTCTGCACACTTCTGGGTCCCAGTGCTCTTCTAGACAGGGAAAATGGTTTCCTTATGCAAGATGTCAAATCCATTTTATGTGAAAACATGGTGTCACTGTGTGTGAAGAAGATTCACTGAGGCACCATCTCCCATCATGAAGGGATTATTCTGCTGTCTCCTTGTGGAAAGGAACAATAGCCAGAGCGGCCCAAATGTGGGATGAGCCTCATCCTAAACTGGAAGGAGGCAGCAGCTCTCCATCTCTTGCACATCCGTCCCCTTCTCATAGGATCCAGTGAAAAGTGCCAAGCATGCCGTGTGAGGGAGAGCTGGGCAATCAGTTCTGGCCCAGGACTGTGCACTTGTCCTGAACAACAGAAACGGTGGCTAATACTTGGGACAATGAGATGTTTCACCCAAACTTATTTTCTGTTCTTTACCCTGGATCCCTCCACAGGCCCCCGGCTGACACCAATGAGGTCACGTGGAACACATGCAGGACCAACCATCTGCATTTCAGTTAGGGAGGATGGCTCCGATCCAGTGTGTATGATTGATCACTGTGAAGTTTGCCTCTGAGCCCTCATCTAGTCCCAGCTCCTTCATGCGGGCATTCTGTCTATAACAAGAAGGAAGCAGAGAGGCCCATCTAGCAGACTGTGTTATGGTAAGTGTGTTCACATTGTAGTTGTCTCTTGTTAAGTGTGTTCACAGTGTGATCTGTCGGTGTGTTCACAGTGTGGTCTCTATAAAGAGACAGCTCAGTTCTCACCCTGACTCCAACCCAGGGCATTTGACATCCCCTCTACAGTGGAAAGATTGACCTCTGAACTTCCACTTGCCTTGTCTCTAGAGGGTAACTACAAGAGGCCCAGATGGAGAGATTGACAGAGTGAAGGCCTCCTCTACAGAAAACCTTCACACATGACTGTCTGGGAAGGGCTCTTAGCCAGACTGCAACAATCTCTTTTAGGCTCTTGAGGAAAAAATCTGTGGCTTCGTCTTCTCTTTGTATGAGGCAGGATGAGCTGAAGCATCAGATCCTCTTATCCACAAGTAAAAGGTGGGATGACTGACCAAGTCAGGACATTAGAACCCCAGTCAGGTGCTGGGATTTGTATCTGGACCCAGCCTGATCCCCAGGGGCATTCAGTGTACTCACTGTGAATAGACTAGTGTTTGCTATTATTATTGTCTGATCTATGGCAGATTATCTAGGCTAAGCTGTGAGTGGTATCATATTTTATCTAGACTGACACAATCTGAGTAGGTAAGTTCTGAGTGGAATTAAAAAGTTAAAATTGGAAAAAATTCCTATGACCAAAACTAGCATATGATGTTGTTGAGAATTTACTATATGATCTTGACTTGGGGAAAGTTTCAGAAACTATGAATACAAACATCAAGAGAGCCGGACGGTGGTGGTGCACGCCTTTAATCCCAGCACCCGGGAGGCAGAGCCAGGTGGATCTCTATGAGTTCGAGGCCAGCCTAGTCTACAGAGTGAGATCCAGGAAAGGCACCAAAGCTACATGGAGAAACCCTGTCTTGAAAAAACAAACAAAAATAATCACGAGATCGAGTTACAACAAAATCAGCTCCCGAATGTCAACAGCACAGTGAGCCAGAGATGCTGCCACACTCAGAACCTCCTCTGTCCATTTGACCAAATGCCTGGCAAGAAGCCCCTTAAGAAGGAAGGCTGTGTTTGTCTTGTGATTTGAGAAGATGTCATGGTGGAAACATCATGGTGGTAGGAGAATGAGGCTGTTTGCTCAAGTTTCAGTGGCCAGGAAGCAGGTAGGGGCTCAGACGAAGCCTGGGCCAGACTGTAACAGATAAAGCCTGCCTTCAGTGACCTACTTCCTCCAACTAGGTTCCATCTCCTCAAGGTCCCATAACCCATCCACACAGACACATGAGCCTGTGTCAACACTAAATAATGTCTTGGGGACAGTCTCTCATAGCCCAGGCTGGCTTTGAACTCAATATGTTGCTAAAGCTCATGGCCTTGAACCTGATCCTACTGCCTCCAAGTGCTGGGATCGCAGATTTGTGCCAACACACTTGGCTTCATAAACACTTTTATAAACCAGTATGAAAACAGCAGCATTCTAAAAAAGCAAAGGATGTGTTGGCTGGGGAAATGTCAATGAAAAATGTCTGCCTTTTAAAGTGCAAGAGCTTTACAGACACCGTGAGATGCCAGGTTAGTATCGTCCAGTCTAGGGTGTGGCAGGAATAAAAAAAAAAATAAAAGAAACTCAGTCTCTCTGCCCTCAGTAGGAAAAGGTTTGTGTTACCTACATCTAGGAAGCCTACATAGTATGTTCTTAGAAAGAGAGTGGTCTTAGAATCAAGTCAGTAAAACATCACTGATCCCAAGGGCTTGGGCCCTGCAGCTGGTCCTAGTGTCCTATGAAAAGATGGTATCTCAATCACCACCCACCATTTATTTACTTAGCTAATTGGTAGAGACAGGGTCTCACACTGTAGCCTAGCCTGGCCTTGAACTCATGGCTATCCTTCTCCTTCGGCCTCCTGAGCACTGGTATTGTAGGTTTGAGCCCTTGTACCTGGATCACTGCCTAGAAAGTTGCAGGACCCACAAGACCCAGGACAGGAGGCAAAAGGTCTATATCCTCATCACCATTGCCATCTGGAGCGGCCTTTCAGGAAGAAACCCCTTGGGACTGATTTAATTGATCTTTACCACAAAGCCTCTCACAAAAGACCCCATTGACAACTGGCTCCTCTAAGGCCACACCTGGGGTTCCTCATTGTCAAAGGTGGAGCTGCTGGCTCTCCAGCCTCCTCTCACCCCAGTGGCTGTGGAGTTTGCCACTGTGGTTCCTCAACTGTGTCAGTCACAGACTCTTCAGAGATAGGTGGGGGAAAGCAGAGAGGCATTCTGGGTCCAGATCTCCCCAAAACACATTCTAGATGCGTGCGTGCGTGCGTGCGTGAGTGTGTGCGTGTTTAAACGTGTTACAAAGCCTGTTAGGGTCTCAGTTTGCTCAACTATTAAAAGGACAGAATGGTGCTTTATTGCTCAGTTGCTAGGACGATTAAATGAACAACTCCTCTAACATACACAGTGAGTGAGTGTACCCCGAATGGTCGCTATTCTTTGGATTCATTTTCTGGTTTGTTGTGCTCTCAAAGAAATCTAGAAGGTGCGAGCGAGAATGCCGTCAAGCTGTAGGCCAGTTGCTGCTGGGCGCCTCTGTCTTGGCTGGTGGTGCACACAGCCCCATCAGCTCGAAAGGCCTCTGCCCACGGAATGAAGTTAATCATTTAGGTCATTGATTCTCCTGGACAAGCTCTGTTTCCCTCCTGTCTGCCAGATCACTACAGACGCTGGATTTCATGCAAATCATCCCCCTGGCTCCTCCAACCCATGCGGCCCTTTTCCTCTGTCTTCCCCTTCGGTCCCTGGCTTACAGGGGGAGGGACTGAATTGAGTCAACAGGCCACCGTAGCATGAGAAATACTCTTTGCAAAGTGGAGCAGCGAGCGCCTGTGAGCAATACTGAATAGACCATGATTCACCCTTGTCTCCCTGGGCGGGAGTGTGTGTGGGAAGGTTGGGGCTGATCTGTCATGCAGGAAGCCGGGACGAGGTAATCAGTTCTCTACCAGGTCTGTCTCGCCTGGATAATGAGACTTTAATAACAGGTTTCCTGAAGAGGCAGCCTGCATGTGCCTCAGAGAACAAACTGATCAACAAGGTGACAGTTTAGGGCGATTGTTATGAAAATTGCTGTTTCTTCAGAATGCCACAAACCCTCCCCACACCGTGCAGATCAGTTTAGTTACCTACCCAAATGTGCAGCTAGCAGGCTAAAATTAAGCGAGGGGACTAGAGCTCAGAGGGCTGTTCTTCAAGGAAAGAAGACAAAAGCTGTGCTCCGGTCGAGTTCTGCCAGAAGGCAGCACCCGCTTGCCATCCCAGCTGGTGACGGAGGAAGATGGTGGAGTGGAGAAAGCTGCTGTAGGAAGGCTGTTTCTCCAACACCAGATCTCACGGACCCACAACATTCACCAGGCTTGAGGAGGGGGAGGGGTGATAGCCAAATGTCCAAGGAAGTCTGTATGCCTGCCAAGCTGCTCTACCCAGAGTTCCGCCTCTGCCTCTGAATCACCTTGTGATTCTATCTTGGGCCCTAAATGAGGAGTTGGGATTAGAAAACCCAGAAGAAAAGAGTCTGGCTTGGGGTGGGTGGAATCTACCCAGCCGAGGAGATGGAAGGAACGCAACAATCTGAACGTGTGTTCACGAGTGAATGGATGAAGCTGTGCCGTGTGCTCTTCACTGCCTGGCCTCCTGCTGACGGCCACCAGAGTGCAGGTTCTGAAGCCAGCCAAGCCTTGGCTTTGGCCCTTAGGATTTTGGACAAATAACTTAGGCTCTCTGGATCTCTTTCTTTCTAGACATAAATGGGAAAACAACAATCTCCATTTTGTAAGGTTGTTGTGAAGTCCAGGTGAATTAACATAATTCTTGTGAGGTGCACAAAACAGTTTCAAGTATCAACTGTTCAGAAGTGTTACTGATTTTAGGACTAGCAGTTTTTCTTTCATTTTTTTCCTTAATAGCAGTAAGTTGTACCATCTGGGTGGAAGTCTCGGGAACCTTACAATGAGTTTGCAATAAAAATGGATCCAGGGCCGGGCGGTGGTGGCGCACGCCTTTAATCTCAGCACTCAGGAGGCAGAGCCAGGTGGATCTCTGTGAGTTCGAGGCCAGCCTGGGCTACCAAGTGAGTTCCAGGAAAGGCGCAAAGCTACACAGAGAAACCCTGTC